ATAGCACATGAAAACGCCTTTGCTCCCTTTTTAAGTATAGTTCATTTTACGTCATTTAAAAAATTATCCAAAGCTCTAGATTTAGTAAGAGCAATAAGGTGTGGATCAAATTATTTCATCAATAGGATTCTGTTTCACCAGGTCCTTCTGTGTAAAGGCCCTTCTCTGATTCAAAGGGTCCTAGCAATACTGTTGCTAAAATTCTATCCAAAAGTATGTAAGATCCCAGACAGGATGCGCCTGCCCTTCGGTTTCCATTCTGTGCCATTTCTGATCACCATTTCCCTCCATTCTGTCAACCCATTTGTCACGTCATTCACTCCTGTAATTTACTCTCTTATCTGCACTTGTCAGGTTATTTCCAACACCTTTCAGTTTTCCTTGTGGAAACTATTGGATCCCCTCATTTAATCCAGTGCATAATTTAAAAATCATGTAGGTTTTTCTTGGAAAGGAAAGGTTACCTGCTTGAAGTAAGAATCTGAAGTTAGCTGCAAGCCATTTAGGAAAGACATCTAAATGAAAATCTCTTTTCTCTTGAAGAGAAAAAACTTTATAGAACATGTTAATGCCCTCCTTTCTTCTTTAAGAAAAAATTTAGTACACATTCAGTTTGAAAGGAGAAGCAAATAATATAAGCCACTGCTTGTGTGAGAAAATAAAATTTTAAATGCACCTGAACTGCTTACTGTATTTGTATTTAATTTCAGTTCTGTAAATATATGAAAGGAAAAGATGAAAAATATTTCAGAGGAAACACTAGTTAAATAATGGTAAGAAATTAGTATGCAGCAAAAAATTAAAAGACTTCAATACTTACAGACTGTCCGGAAAGAATAAACAGAAAACATAATCGTAATTCTTTGAAAAACATGATTATTTGATGGTGGCTCAAAAATAGATGAAAAAAGCCAAAGTCTTTTATAACACTCAAAATATTTCGGCTATTCTGCAGCAGAACTGCTGGACCAGGTGTGCAGATTACCAAGGAGAGTGACTTTGAAAACAAACTGTAGAAGTGATCAAACTGGACCAAACTGCACAATTACGAACAGTATGAGCTCAGACTTGCCCACATGGTGTGAACGCAGGGCTGTCCTAGCTGTCGGAGGATTATGTCACTGCTGACCTGGGAGTGCCTTCCCATCTCTGTCTCAGCCTCTTCCTCAGTGCTCCTTGATCCAGCTCACACACACACACCTAAAACCATGTGGGCCACTACTCACATACCACACACACGCTCACATACAGCATACACACCATATACACACATAAAATATACACACACCACACACAGTCACAAACCATATACACAAATAAAATATGCACCTTCCATATCACATATACACACATTACACACACAACACGTACAACACACATATCACACAACACATATCACACCACACACACATATCATATACAGACATATAATACACACACCACATCACATATACACAACATACAACACACACACCACATCAGACGTAAACAGCATACATATCACACATATACAACACACATCACACATACTACATCACACGTACATAACATACATCACACGTATACAACACACACATCACACGTATATAACACACACGACACGTACAAAACACACACATCACACGTACACAACACACACATCACACACCACATCACACATACACAGCATACACATCACACATATACAACACACATCACACCTACCACATCACACGTACATAACATACATCACACACACCACATCACACGTATACAACACACATCACACATACCACATCACACGTACACAACACACACCACACACCACATCACACATACACAGCATACACATCACACACTCGCATACATATCACACCACGCAATACTCACATACCATATACACATATAGCATATGCACACACACTATACCCACATACCACATCAAACATATATACACACATGTGCCCCACATACACATACCACACATAAACACACACACAAACCAGACTGATACACATATTCGCACATCATACACACTCAGACATCACACATAGCCTCCATCACATCACATACAAAAACACTCCATACATCACACACACATGCACCACACATACCTCCACACCACATCACAGTACACACACACGCCACACATACACACCCCATGCATCACACACACACTCACAAACAACATACACACACGGTTGTCTTTCTGCTGCACCAGCTGAGCCTCCATCATGGATCCTCAGTACCCACCAGGCTGGGCTGTCAGCCTTTCCGAGCACCAGACGCCAAACTCGCACCCCACATTTCCCCTCCCGCTGACAGCCAGCACACTGCTTGCCATATAGGGAGATCACAATAAGCTTTTCTTAAAAACGAAGACTCATGACTCCTTGATACTATCTGAATTGCTGGAGTATTTCTCTATCCTTCTCTCTCTGAAATACTTAAAATCCAGTCTGTCATGAAACCAAATGTACTCTTGTTTGTCTTCTTCCATACTACTGCACTACTGAAAGGCTTAGCATTGTGGTTCTTTGTTCCAATTTTAGTATATGTGCTGCCGAAGTGAGCACAGCATTGTGGTTCTTAAAACGAGCTAAAAAGTATCTTTGCTTTCTGATGGAAGCCATGAAAAGCTCTCATTGCTGGGATGAGAGACCACTCACTACCTTTGTCATTACAGCTTAGATTAAGTTCTGCTGGAACATTCAGTAAAGGACCTCACAGAGGCCCCTTGCTATCCTACTGCTTTCTTGGTGTCACTAAGCCTGGGACAAGAAATTACATGGAAGCAGACATGGGGATTCCTTCCTGGGCCTCTGTCTGCCGGACACTCTGAAGGGGTGCTCAGCCATAGTTGACATCTTTGCCCCCAGTAGTGCAACATTTTTTCATCTCTAGGTAAGGAGAATTACAAAGTATTGTTAGGTAAAAGAACACAGCTGAGATGTTAATTGCCTGTATTTTTATTTCATATTCTAGATTATGGGACTCAGAAAAATGTAGAACATTAGAAAACAAGCATAATACTATCTTCTGCAGCAGAAATGTCTAGATGTGTAGAATATCAAATGCTCTAATGCAACAATTTGCTTTGCTGCCAGAAATGCTTTTATACTTTCTATAAAGTAAAACTCTTAAGTGCAGTGAAAGTTGTTTTCAATGTATAGAACTCTTGCCTTGGTAACTTTCTCTTTGAAGCCTGGCTTGTCATCCTAGAGAAACAAACATGGTTTGGTTTGGTTTCATCACTGAGAAAGCCACCTGCCTTCCCAGTGTGCAGTCAGCGGCCTGGCTGCCAGAAGGGATTCTTGTCCGGCTCGCTGAGAAAACAGCCAAGCAGCCAGTGCCAGCCTGAGACGCAGGCAGAAGGAAGGTGCCAGGCTGTCAGAGGACCCACTTGGTCCTGGAATTGTGTCGATGCTGTGACTGGAATAATTGAGGAAGGGTCCCTGGCATGGAAAGAGAACATGCCCAGATAGAACATGGGAATCAGTCACTTGATCAGAACGGTGCCCTTGGGACACTGTGCATCCTCCCTTTTCTTTGTTTTCTAAACAGCATGTTTTTGTCTAGATAACACTAAAGGTAAATGACAAATCTGTCCTGACATCTCATTGATCAAAGCTATTTCTGAGGCCAAGGCCCTGTGACAAAGCACAGGAAGAAAACATTACTGGGTTTAATGGTGTCGACCATCAAGCAGCATAGTTGGTATTCAAATCCCTGGAGTCAGGACAACTTGTCACAGCTAACTTTATGGAGAGCTTAAAATGTCAAGGTTCAGGCTGAATTGTCATCCACAGGAAACAACGAGAGATTTGAAGGAAATTTCAAACCCTTGTGGCACAATTTATGCTTCTGGAAAAGTCTGAAACAAAAGTAGCAGTTTCTGTGCAGTGATACCTGAACTTGGTCCAAAATGTTAAACCTCATGTCCCTTTTCAAGCATCTGCGTGGTTGAAAGACCTAGATGATCTTGGTTCCTCTCCTGTCTTGGTGCTGACCAACTGTGCTATAGGAGTTACAGATATGACTCTGAGCCACCTCTCTTGTACTTGGGCTTATAACAGAATCCTATCCATCCATGTGACTGAATTCCTGCAACCATGTTACCTTCTGTGTGGATATAAGATACTCAAATGTTTCAACCAAAAAAAAAAAAAAAACTTCATGTGAATACAACATCTTGCATAATTGGAACATTTGAAAGCAAAGATGCTTTTAAGGTCCTACGCCAGTTTCCTAAAGGGAAGCTGAGTTTCTGATCTGTGCAAAAGGAAAATGATCTCAGTGATGGGGGGATGAATATTCCAACACAACTGAGGAATGACAGTCCACACAGAATTCAGTCCACACAAAATAAGGCACATTCACTTTGCCAAGTCAGTTTGACATTTTTCAGCTGTCAATTCGTGGTTTTCTCAGCAGCTTTGCAAGATTTAAATCCGTGTAGACTATACCAGGTAGAAAGCAAATGCTTTTCAGATTGATTTGTAAATACGAGAAAAAGCCATGGAATAACTGAAAATCATTTTGAAAACACCATGGTAAATCACACAGGAAAAAATACTGGTGGGCATTATTCCACCATCTGAATATGGTTTTGCTGTTCAAAGCAGATTAAAAAAAAAAAACTTATTTACTTTGAAAGGTGGATTTACAGAAAGGACAAACCAAGAAAAGAATCTTCCCTCCAGTAGTTCACTCTCCCAATTGCCCCATTGGCCAGATTTGAGACGATCCGAAGCCAGGAGCCCAGAGCTTCTTCCAGGTCTCCTACGTTGGGGCAGGATCCCAAAGCCTTGAACCATCTTCCACTGCCTTCCCAGGCCATTCACAGGAATCTGGATGAAAAGTGGAGCAGCTGGGACATGAGCCAGTGACCATAGGGGATGCCAGCATTTTTAGACAAAGGCAGATTGTTTGCTGTGACCTGTGCTTGGGGGAGCACCCAGGCAGCCCCTCTCCTTGTGCCCTGTGGACCGTGGCTGACCCACTGGTGTGCTTCTTTGCAGAGCTGGAGGCGGAGGAGTGGTGCAAGCATCTGTGCATGGAGTGTCTGGGGACGAGACTGAACGACATCAGCCTCGGGGAGCCTGACCTGCTGGCAGCCGGGGTGCAGCGGGAGCAGAACGGTAAGGGGGCCTTTCCGCTGTGCTGTAATGTCACATGATAACCTCTTTTTTGGGCCAGAAAGTAGACTGAGCAGTTGTTAAAGCATTTTCCCATGATGGTGTAGCAATCAGAAAATTCTAAGGTGCAAGCAGTTCCAACTTCTTATCTGTGACAATGTCACTAATTGTCCAAATAAAAAACTGGCATGATAGCTATTGTATATAAGGCTTTTGTATGTGTAACATCCCACGTGTCTTCTCTGTAAATTAGCGTGTATGTCAACAGATTGGGGGCCTGGCATGGTAGTGTACCGGATTTAGTCGTCAACTGCATCCTTGCTGCTCCACTTCCAATCTAACTCCCTGTTAGCACACCTGTGGAAGAATTGAAAATGATCCTAATGCTTGGGCTCCAGCACTCCTGTGGGAGCCCTGCGTGAAGCCCATGATTCCTGAATGCAGCCTGGCCTTGTACTCCATTACAACCATCTGGGGAGTCAATCAGTGAATTAAAATTTCTCTCCCTTTCTCTCTCTCTCTCTGTACACATATTGCATCTTCTCATTCAACTAAAGCAAATGAATCTTTAAAAATGTTGGCTTATCATATTATCAGTAATTTCCAGGGGATTTAGTTAATACTGCAACACAAACGTGGCAGATGAAATTGCAAGGCATCATAACACCGAGGTTTATGGACCCAACTTTGTTTACTTACCAAACCATTCTCCACTTTAACAGGCATTTCTGTTGTCTTAACGGCATGCCACATACTTGGGTCTAGCATAGCCAAATCATTACATTGAACAAATATAATCATTGTTCAGTGTGTCAATATTAGTTCATTGTAAGCTCATAATGTAAAGAATGGCCACCAGTACAGGATGACCCAGCAGTGTGAGAATAGAAACAGTTCAGTGTTCTTTCTGATGCTCGGTGGTCAGAAAGATTGAGGGGTATTGTAAAACTGGATGCCATTTCTTAAAAAGAAATTCTGGAAATAAAGAATTCACTTGTGCGTAGTCACACTTGATAATTGCAGTATTACTAGAAATAACGTTATTAACAACCATGCTTCTCTCCCATTTAAGTACTGTTATTTTGCTGTTATTCAGATACTTTCACTTGTTTTTTCCTAACAACAAAACTGAAATTTTCCTGTGAATTGACCATGAGCATACGGAGATGCTAAATATTCCTCCGTGAGAGTTTTTAGAAAGTCAAAAAAAAAAGCGTTTCTTTTGCTCTTTTGCTGGCTTCGTCTTCCTTTTCCTGTTCCTCTCGCACACTTTTCTCAGATTTTCATCTCTCTGAATTGTTTTCTGAGAACTGTGTTAAGCAGAGAATGTCCCAAACCGTGTTACTTAAAATAAGCTGTTCATCCACAGTTTAAGAAGGGAGATGCTCCTAGGTGGGGATTTTCCAGCACTACATAAGGGACGTTTGAAATGTGAGACGAAAGCACGTGCTGGGTGGAAACACCGGGTGCTCTCAGTGCAGGGCCGTGCTGCCCCTTGGAGTTGGAGCTCTGTGCCATTTCCACGTGCAAATGCTTCCTTGTGTCTGTCTAAACAGCTCCGGCTCTACACAGAAGAATATCTGTGCACACGATGTGCCTTGTTAAAAATCCGATTCTTAGGGAAAACTAAGGTCCGGGAAAGGATGAGAGCTTGGTTTTTACTGTGGGGCTGCTGGGAGGTGGTGACACCTGTGCCAGTCTGGGCCTGACAGGAAGTCCTTAGGGATGGAAGTATTGATGTGGCGCTCAGGGGACCCTGGTTAGTTCTCCTGAGAGAGGCTTGCTTTTTCCTCTAGTTGCCTCTCCCCCCCATGTGATCCCTACACACACACACACACACACACACACACACACACACACACACACACACATCTCTGCTATGACATTGTCCACCATGATGTCACATCCAGAGGACACACACAGAGCTCATGTCATGCTGTTTGAACACTGAGGAGCCATACACTTGCTTCAAAAGGCACCAGGCTCAGATATTTCCTTACAGCAATGGAAAAACAGCTATGGGAAGGGCTTCCCTTCGCTGGAACCACCTTCTCTATTGACTCCTCCTATGACCATGGATCCCAGCACCACCCAGGCTCCTCCGGTTTTTGCCTCCTTTCTTTAAAGTGCCAGTTGGAGGTGATGCCTTTCTTTTCCTCTTACCCCACTTGGAGCTGGTTCCAACAGGGGCTGAACCCTTCCAAAGCCAGGAGTCAGGAGCTTCTTGTGGGTCAGCCACATGGCTACAGGGACCCAAGTGCCACAGGTGCTTTCTGGTGTCCTCTTCAGTGTGTTAGCGGAGATCTGAGTCAGCTGTGGAGTGGGCAGGACTTCAGCCAGCACAGGTGATGCCAGCCCGCAGGCAGCGGGCAGCGGGTCTTTCTCCCACTCAGCAAAATGCCAGGCCTGTGTTCATGCAGCGAGGAAAGAGCCACAAACCAGTTGGCACACTTTTCTGCATGCATGTGTCAGTTTTGCTGCTTTGTAATCAAGAAGCTTCCTTGTACATTTAGTTCTATGTTAAGAATCTCTCTGGAGCAAGATGTCCAATCTCATAACTGAGACCAAGACATCTGTTTGGCCAGCTCTGCCCAGTCCCCAGCTTCAGGCCTCATGGGTGCCTTGGAGGTAGCTTCGATGCCCACTTGCCCAAACTGTGTAGAGAAAATAAGCATTGTTCTAGCTGGTCAAGTAAGATTTTTTAAAGATGTATTTATTTTTAGTGGAAAGGCAAATTTACATAAAGAAGGAGAGACAGAAAAATCTTGCATCTGCTGTTTCACTCCCCAGGTGGCTGTAAAAGCTGTAGCTGAGCCGATCTAAAGCCACATGCAAGGAGCGTCTTCCAGATCTCCCACGTGGGTGCAGAGTCCCAAGGCTTTGGTTTATCCTTTACATTTTTCTCAGGCCACAGGCCGGGAGCTGGATGGGAAGTAGAGCAGCTAGGACATGAACCAACACCCATATGGATGCTAGCATGCACAAAGCAAGGATATAGTCACTGAGCCATTGTGCTGGGTCCCAAGTAAAATCTTAAAAAATAGAATCTCTCCTTCCACTGACTCTCAATCACTCTTCAAGCATAACATTTTAAAATAAAAATATCGGCAAATTCCGTATGCTAGTTTGAACTTATTCATAGATACTCATTAAATTTTTAATGAAAGACTGGTCAGTAAAGATTAAAATTTTTACTCATCCTTTTTAACACAGTTTAAGGGCTTTAAAGAGATTATTTGTTTAGAAGGCATCACATCAGAGAGGCCAGGGGAGAGATCCTGCATCTGTGGGTTCACTTCCCAAACGTCCACAGCAGCAAGGACTAGATCATGCCCTCATCAGCACTCAGGTGCTCCACCCGGGGCTCCCGCAGCAGAATGTCACAGGAAGTAAAAGGACTCATCCCAGAAACCCTGCAATGGGATGCAGGCGTCTCCAGCAGTGGCTGCATCGTAACTCCTCCTCAGACATACTGTATGATTTGTCAGTCGAAGGTTTGTTTGGATTTGGCCTGAATGTTTTTGCTGACACATGAGGAGCTCCGGCATGCAGAGTCGGTCTAGCCGACGGCCTCCAGGTGACTTGTGGGAGCTGGCATCGTTCTGTCATCAGGAGAACTCCCCTGGCTCGGGCTTGACCATGGAATATTTTTGACATTCAAGATTTCTGCTTCCCTCTTGCATGCTCCTAACTGTTCGGACAGTCTTTATTTACTCTGAGATTAGCTAAGAATAGACGTTTATGCAAATAATTTTTAAAGGTGAAAGATAATGTGTGTTGCTGAGATAAATGTGTTATTGATTAAATTCTTTGCTATAATCATGTTTATCTAGTCCTGTCAGCTGCTCTCATATTGACTCAGAATCCTTGTTTAGGGGAAAGTTAAAAGGTGGAAATGCTCCCTCTCTCTGTGTCTCTCACAAATACACACATACTCATTCTCAAACTTCAGATAATGCCACAAATGCATATAGATATTTCATACTTTTGCTACTTAAAATTTCCATTTTCTTTCAATACTTAAGATAGGCTACATTGACCTTGGGAAGTATTAACATGATATTAGAGTTATAGACAAAGAATTCATGACACATAATTGCAATTCTAGAAAACATATTGTATGTTAATTGTTAGAAGAAGCAATGTGTATCACGTCTAAGTGACTGGTGTGCCTGAAACTCCTGCAGTTGCAGTGGGAAGTGAAGGCAGAGGATGTGTCCAGTTTGCTACTGATGCAAGAGATGCATCTGCCGCTTGAAAAAGTAGCTCAGACTTGTGAGCACGCCTCTGTTGTTCCTGCGCAGGTGGGATGACTGAAATTCAGCTGAGGTAGGCTGGATTCTTCCGAGATCGTCTCCACATTTCAGATGGTGCTCATGCTTGCTCAGTGTGTGTTCCATCCTCCTACTCTTGCAGCTGCCCCAGACAGACTCCCAGCACGCAATAGAACACACGCTGGCTTGCAGTGCTGTCTAAGGCTGTGTACACGTTGTATCCTCTAACGTTCCACTGGTCAAAGCCTCTGGGAAACTGCAAAGTTGCGAAAGTCCACAAATGTACTCCATCTGTGAGGCTGTAACAGGAGTGCAAAGGTATTGTATTAATTCATAAGGGAAGAAAATGAAGAAAGGAGAAGAATTATTGAGCCATCTGTGGTGTAATAAAATATACTAAAACATTGACAGTTTAGTGTAGCTAGGAATCATTCTGATTATATTAGCCTGCCTGTATTGACTTTTTTATTCCTTCAAGTAAACTTTCTTACTTGACAATAAAGCAAGGCTAAAATTTTTAATGTTCATCACCAAATGGTCAAAGCAAATGCTAACAGATCCTTGCTAAAATGTTAACAATTTCCTGTTCATTAAAAACAAGGGCAATAACAGAAATAAACATGATTCTAATGTAAGAGTTCTTCCCCCCACCCCCGCCCAGTTTCTCAACAAAATGACCTCGGGTGAACCATATTCACTCTCAGACATACTGTTCTTAACATGCAATAA